ATTCTTTCCTTTTCCCACCCACTGTCACTGACAAGTCTGTGCATAAATACATTTGCCTTTGCTGTTCCCAGGTCTTCTTATGTACCTATACCCAGCAGCACATCTAGGTAGAGTTATCATCAAAGCAGTCATATTCGTGAGCAGTAATGATCATCAGCCAAATCAGCAGTTGGGGACTGTATTTTCATGAAACTTCTACTTACTATGGATAATTGTATGCAGAAAACTTTCTGCTGGACCTCTCTCTCCTGAAAAACACAGTTTTTGGAGTAGACAGACTAAAGGGTTTTCAGGTTATGATGTGTTGTGAACACATATTTACAAACAAATCGTGAAATCATGTATGCCTAACATGCTTATTGTTCCTGCCTCCGAACAAAACTCTTTTTAAAGTTTGCACCTTTCTTCTCTTGCCCAGTAAATTCCTTCGGATAACACTGGTTGCACCTATAGTGCACTGAAAGGTCAATCTTAGAGTTATCTGTAAGCCTACTTCACTACCTCCTACCTTTTTTTTTACCCGTGTATCTGCTCAATGCTCCATCACCCTGGTTACGCACGGAACTGGAGAGCCAGCAGTGTTCATGGGTGAGTTCCAGCAGTGCCAGCTGCAGGTGTGTACTTTGGCCCGAGGGCATCTTGGAGCTGGTCATCATAAAGCAGCATCCGCAGAGCGAGGTCCTGTAGCAAAGGTGGTCCTTTCCTGCAGGCAGGATTTTCAGACACTGGAAACTTCTAATTCATCTTATAGAGAGGAGACTCTGATGCCTTCTAGGGATTATCTGGCAGATTGATCAACCTCTAAGAAAATACTTTTTGTCTACTGTGACGAGTATAAGTACTGCCTCCTAATCCAGCTGTGGACAAGAGGTTGACAGTTTTACTTCTTATCAAAAAACTCAAAAGTTCTTTTTCCGTTTTATAGTTCAAGCACCTTTTTACCAGATTCAAGGCTCCAAAGCATTAAATAATTAGTCACCTCACTTCCTTTGTTTGCAATATCTCTGCATCAAGTAAAACAGCTTGTAGCACTTTTAGGAGAGTCAAAAAAAAAAGCAGCAAGGTTACCTGATGCCTGTGAAGCTTTTTGTACAAATATGTAGGTCATATGGGACCTTCTATGAAGCCCTATCCACAGCAATCTAATGTCTTTACATTTATTTCCTCACATTTACTTCCAGTAGCTCTGTTGCTTTTTTGTTACTGAAGATCCATGATATTAACAATCCTCTTCCTTCCTTTCAGATTTCTACTAATGACCACCAGCAATGGCAGTTTGCTGGAAATGAACTTGCTTGTATTTCATTTATGTTTTCACGTACAAAATGCATTTCATATATAAAAGACAGGGACATAGTCTTTCTTAGTCTTTCTTTATCTTAAGCCCTTTTGCCCCAGGAAGCAGAACACTGAAAACTATAATGTATCTTATACAAGATCTGATCTTTTCTGAAGAGATTTTTTTTTCTTTACAGTAAGTCATTGCATTTGTCTAATAGATAGATTTGTTTCTCTCCTTCCATCAAAGCTTTATTAGGTTACAAAAGGACTCTGCACTTCTCTTGTTGTAGATTGGCCCGTTCATGGAAGAGTAAAGCCTGTCAAAAGTCTGACTGGGCTCGACCATTGCTTAACAGACTTTATAATTAGTGACCACTCCTACTTTCTTGAGACTTTTTGCATTTCTAAGGACCTACTGATCTCTAAGGATTCAGTACCATACTTTTTTGTCAATTCAAAAATTACTACTCTCTTTTTATACTAAACTTGATGACAGAAAAATAATTAATCTGAGAGATTATCAGCATAGCATCTCAATAAACACTGTTACCTTTAATGCCCACACCACTGCACCAAATGCAGCTTCCCTAAGCTCAGCAGAGACAATCTATCTGGCACTATGGCACCAGCCTCTCTACCCCAGGGTGTGTAAGCTGTTCTCTGTCACAATTTTTGATTCACGTCTCTATAAACATTTTTTACAAAATCTTCATGGATCTATTTAGTCTGAAATATTCAGGATCAGTGGATTTTTAGACAGTGGCAACCTCGAGAGAAGATTTGATACGAGACATACGTGTATTTGCGCACACATGTGTAATGCAACAAAGGTTTACAATAACAATATCACATAAAACAAGAACAGCGTAGGCTATACATTATCAAGATAATACTAACATGATGAGAATATTTAGTTGTTATATGTTGGAAAACAGAAAAGTATGGCAATTTTCTAGAAAAAGACCTTGTAACATTTTTCTATATACTCACATAACCATCTCTGCAAGCTTGGTGATAGCACACCAAAATCCCCACTGAAGGCTATTTACTGTGCAGGTGTGTAAGTGCAGGAGAACCTTCTGAAACCTTTAAACATCAGTAAAAACAAACCAAAAGCCAGCTATGGAACTCCTGATACATATCCTCCCACGGGGTATGGAAGGTGGAATGATAGAAGACAAATTCACTGGCTTTTAGCAAGTTTTGGTGAGGATAGACCACATTGTCTCTAAAATAAGAGCCAGTCCTGGCCTGGATGACGCAGTTTTAAACCCAACAATTTGCTGAGAATTTCAGGAGGGGCAAGATATGGAAAAGGTAGGGTTTTATTTAGAGACAAAGGCATATAATGCAACCTAACGCTTTTCTGAAGTGACCCTCTACAGTGATGCATATATTTCTGTCAAATTCATGGGAATTATCTGTGTTT